GATCGATGAATTCTTCATAGGGGATTTTCACAATGTCGATAACAACAAAGACATGTTATTGTAGAATCAAATATTTTGTAAATACTTTATTTAATAAATACATAAATTATTTTAAAGCCAAATAAACAATTATAATTTTTTTATTTAGGCTCCAACTAAATAAACGTACATACAATATTGATTTCTTCAATAAAGTTATTCCATCCATTCACGAATTCAGTTTTAAAAGCATATTCAAGTAGTAGAATTTTTAATCCAAAGTTTAGTTTTCGTTAAAATTAAAGCACTCATCTTTTCTCATTGGAGCGTGTTTTTCAATGACATTCAAAAGGACATCGTTTAGAAAGAAAAGTTTAAGATTTACACACCACATGCACATGTGAACCATCACACACTTTATCCATATTTCAATATTGCTAAATCGAAGGATCAATTAATCCCAAATATTCTATATTATGGGTTAGGGTTAGTACTCACTGTGATAATGGGAACATATGAAAGAAAATTATGAATGTTTCGCTGCATCAGGACAAGCCATTTGGTATAGAAATTGAACCACAGTACGGGTGGGGCGACCAGTCATACGATTCTTCAACAAATAGGGGATAGTACCAAACTTAGTCAACATGCCAACACCGCGTGTGTCTAAATGAGCCCAATCTACACAGGGCAGCAGCTCCTGTTTGGGGATTTTTATAAGAAATCATTTTATTAATTATAATGTTCCTGTGCCCGTTAAGAACAACTTACATGAAGAATAGCAGCGGCTAAGCATGATGACGCTGGTCCGCTTCCATTGTTACTTATGTCAAAGCTGATATGATCTAGAGATTAATTGCATTCATTAATATAATGATTATTATATTTTTTACTTCTTAAATACAGTTTTATTAATTTTTCCTAATTAATCAGTCTGATCTGCATATAAAAATATTAGTAAAATTATGATTTATGTGAAGTGCCTTCATCATTCTAAAATAAATTGGATTTTTAATAATTTTCATACTCATAGAACACTATACCTATACCTCATCTGGCAGTATGAACTGTGCATACCACAGCATGTTTACATATTTTATCTTATAACAACAAATTCCATTATATTAATGCATTTTAAAATTAAATTTATCTATGCAGAACTCTTTCTGTAAGAATTCTGTACGATCACTTGATTCGGACTCAATGTCCATTTCAATTTTTTAAATCGCTTGATAATTTTGTATGTTATTTAAAAAGAATTCAACTTACTAGTAACTAGTTTCTTGTAGAATTGCCATAACGGGAAACGCCACACCCTATCGCCAGTTAGTGCCCCTGCTTTTTGGAACTGCTTCCATATGAAATGGGAGTTTGAGAAAATTCCGGTTGCCCCTCCACCCAGACTCTTCTGCACACCATAGCCTAATGTTGCAACATCAACAACCAATCTCGGCTTGTAGGTAGCTTGCCCATATAGTATGGGATCCGCCATAACGGCAACTCCAGCTTTGTCAATATCCTAGAAAGATTAATAAATAGGTTCAAAAGTATTAAAATATGTTTTAAAGTACAAACCCTAATGGACATGTTTTTCCCATTGAGTAGCTTGACAACATCCCCAGGCTTGCAAGACATTCCGGATGGCATATTTTCGCATAATGGTATAACGGCGGATATGTTAATTGGAAGTGAGAGTGCGGCAGCAGCGCGTAGTGTTGCCACCACGACTGCAGCTCCGCTCATAGCTCCGCGGTATTCATCCATACCTTTACAGGTCCGTAAATTGATACCACCACTGAGAATATGAAAATAGAATACAAATGCAAGAAGACTCAACCATTATATTATTTTATTTTACCTATTAAAAGTGATGCCTTTTCCCACTAACAAAACTGGCTTATCTTCTGGTGCCGTGCCACAATAATTGACTTCCAGTATTAGGGGTGGTTCACATGAGCCCTTAGCAATCATCAAGAATGAGTTTATTTGTTGCTGTTCAATCCAATCCATTGTTCTTATTTCGACGGTTACACCACAAGGACATAGCGCATCGACAGCGTTCTGGGAGAAGATAGTAGGTGTCATTAGGTTGGCCGGAGTATCTGATAAACGACGTGCTAAATTTTGGGCCTCAGCTTTGAATAGGCCGCGTGTCCATGCATCCATATCAGGATTATCATAAATTTCCAATTTAGGTACTCTTGTCCGACGCATTTTATCTTTAAGCTCGTTATATCTCCAAACTGCAAGCGAGCTGCCTTCAGCCGCTTGTTCCGGATACTCCATGGAATCCAAATAGATCTCGGAACACTGTTCCATCTGCAAACTGCGAGCGCCAACTGCTGCTGCTACTCGGGCATTTTCCTTGATTTTCGGAACGAATAAGTAATGAATATAAATATAATAAATGCAGACACTTTAACAATATCGCAGAGAAAGTATTATTATATATGTTATACAAGTCGTTCAAGGTACATAAGAAACTTGTTACATTCACATATACACATATACTTTTAATCAAAATATCGAACGTTCCAAAATAAATTTATTCTAATAAAATTTTCTATCTTCTTCGAATTAAATAATAATGGTAATATGGAATTGAATGAGATAAAATTTTTTTTCTTAAGAGATAAAGAAAAATTCATTCCGATCAATGACAGGAATAGTCTTTTAATATTAAAGGTCATATATATCATTTAATTTTATTACACTTCTAAATATATTAAGAATGAATCAAAACTTCTAAATTTTTATGTAATAATTTTTACTTTGACATTTTCGTCAACTGTCAAAAAAAATAGAAAAAAAATTTTTTTTTCTGCAGATTTTTGATTTGCGCAAGGTCTCAAAAACTGTTTTTTAAAAAGCTTTTAAGATTTATTTTATTTACCATGCCTTCGTCAATCATCTCCAGCTCATTAAACCCAATGCCTTCACGACCTAATCCGACTATTGCAATGGATCTGAATTCGGTGTCAATGTTATTAAAAACTTTTCCCATTCCCACCTTACCCTTCATTTCACATCTGTGCAAATATATTTTATGATATAAATTATATTAACTATAAACTTCTGTTCTAATTGAACTTACACTTTAACAACCTCGGTGATCTTACCCTTGACACGGTCGTCAAACTTCTCTCCGCTGCTAGTAAGCCTTGGAGGATTACCCTCCTCCTCCTGATACAAGCCGAGCACGAGTCCTTTTAACTACAAAAAAGTATATTAAGCTTCAAAGTGGCGTGGCATTTCTGAGAAACTTACATTAGGCTTTCTTCCACCATCATCAGAGAAGAAGCGAGACGAAACATTGACTGCTTTTAAAAGGTTTAAAATGTGGGGCGGATGGCAGCGGACCGCATTACGTAAAGCCACAAATGAACTAAAAGCCATTTTAGATTTTCACAATAAATTTTGATTCCAGACGATTTTGAGTATATACTTCTTCTTGATATTTTTTTTTTATGAACGTACAATATTTCATTTGAACCATAATATTTTTTACTTTTTATTTAAAAAAAGCAAAGCCTACTAAATTTTGATTTTATACTTTTCACTGTAGAATGAGTAAAGTAAGAGATATACATCTATTCAGTTTATTAATATGTTTGTAATATGGTGAAGACGGCGATAGATGTCATGAAAGTAAGGGCCATCTTATAAAGAGAGTCACAAGGAAAAAGCTTGTTTTTTGGAGAATAATATTATATAGCAATTGTCAAATGCCTGTCCTTACTACTATTTTGGTACGTTTTATTTGTGCCTAAAATGTGAAAGGTAATGTTTTTATATAAATACACATATTTACTCCGAATAGGCGTAAATACTGACATTTTTTAGAGAGCTATACTATTTTAAGCACCGTGACGAAACGCAGAAATACTCGACACCGTGACCAAAATTAAATCAAAAGTTTTTCTAAGTGATATAATTGGTCACTTTAGGTTGAGAGATGCGTTATTGTAATTATTTGATAGAACCTCTGTACTATCCCGGTGACGGGTCTGCTTTGTAGTCAATTTTGATATTCAGGATAGAAGTAGGAAATGAATAGAGAATAGACTGTATGAAATTATTCACTTAGATCGTAAGGTCCGCGGAGTTACTGGTTGAATAACTTCCAAAATTTTCGATTTCTAAACATAAAACTGAGCAATTGGATAGTTTTTTCCTCAGATTGAGACTAAAATTAAAATATTCTTGATGTCCAGTTGATATACCTAAAGTGCTCTAATAATTGTAGAAATTTTCGATTTAGAAGAACAAATCATCGATTAGGATTGATAATAGACAGATACTTAACATTTTATACATCAGAGCTATAATCATAGTTGGACATGAAGCTAAGCACACAGATCTAGTTGTTAGACAAATAAGTAAACAATAAAAGGATTTTCTTCTGCGTTGTCACTTCTAATCTTGGATGAAACCCAAATTATGTAATAACGCAATAAAAATTATGTCCTTACATTTTAACTTAATATAAAAGAGATCGTCCATAAAATATAGAAGATCTCAATGAAGTGATTTGTTTGGAAGCACGTCGTTAAGATGCAACATTCCCTCAAAGTACGTCAAAATTTAATAAATTTTATTTGATTCCCTTCTATTCGAGATGAAAAATTGTAACTATATAATATTATTTGAAACCTTCAAAGGATTCCATTAATTACTTAATATTATTTAAAAATCCCATCAAAAGTTATTTGACGTAAATGGCGGAAAAGCGCTCGAAAAGCTCAAAGACTAAGAACTAAGTCCTTCCTTAATACAATATAGTAAGTCTTAAGAAGCTAATAGAACCCATTATTTATTGTATCTTAAAAATATAATTGATGATTCTTGGAGCATATATTTAAATGATTTTCCCGTGTGTCGAAAAATTAAGTTATTAAAAAGTCAATGCCAACTTGAATGTACTATGTACATATATGTATCAACAAAAATAATTTATAATTCTCATGTGTAATTTCTTAAAAAATTTTACTTTAATGTAATTTTTATGATCTCAAAATATTGCTTCGGTAGCTCAGTTGGTAGAGCAGTAGGCCGGAGTAGTCACTATGATTCCAATTTTGAAGCTGCATCAAATGTGGCTCCAATTCTGTGAGTCATTCTCCTAGATCCGGGGGTTTGTGTGACAACGGTCACCTACGGCCGCGGGTTCAAATCCTGCCTGAGGCAATTTTTTTTAATCATATTTTTTTTTTATGTTTTATACAAAAAAGATATTCTTAGAACGATTTTATGGTAGAAGTGGCAATCATCAAAGTATTGATAGACTGATTCGATTAACAAGCAAGTTTGTATTATGACACTTGATAAACAATAATATAATTTTTTGTGAATGGTTTAAAGATTTTGAAACGCGCAGCTTCAATTTAACTTGTTTTGTGTTTTGTATTAAACATTTATATAAAGAATGTAAAAAATTTCAACAGCAGATATTTGATTTTCTTCTTCAAAGAATGAAGACAAAAATACTGATCTACATTTATAGAGACAAAGAACTCGGGATGCTGCAAATCTCTGGAATGTAACACAAAATCGGAATTTCAAAACTGATAAATATAAGCTTTGTAACTAATATGTTTGTGTTCACATAAAATATCGACCTGGAATTGTTTTCAAAGTTCTTAGGATCATTGGGCTCATTAAAATTCACCATGTGATGGACGGACTACTACTGATTTGAATTTCATTAGGTTTGTAATAATATTTAAATCAACCCAACCTAAAATATATTCTGAGTATTTAATAAATGTTAAAAGTAATTTATATTGAATGTGTTAAAAATTATTGCAAGACTTTTGTTGAAGATTATTCTTGTCCTTGCCCTCTTTATTGATGGATTTAAGCTATTAATCTTCATGGCTATTTTTTCTCAAAAATTGCTGCCATAAGATTTGTCGAGTATACCTATGACATTATTAAGATTTTGATCCATATTTCCAACAAAGTTTTTAATTTGTTTTTCATTGCTAATTAACTTTACCTTGCAGAAAAACTAATTATTTTGAAATTTTATACAAACACACATTATTTCTGATAAAATATATAAAATAAACAAAAACCCGAGAGAAATTATTTTTGTTAATTAAATTTAGGTTGCTGTTAATCCTAGCAACCTTTTGAAAGATTTGGTAACCAACCCAAGTGGAGCGAAAGGTAGAAGGAAAACGAGGGTTAGAAGACCGTTGTAGACATCTTCAGGAAACAACGGTGTAAGGCTGTGGCGGAGGAACAAGTGCATTAAGCTAAGTCTACAACTTCAGTGAATCGGGGTTACCTAAAACATCATGCCGCGTCGTTATGGTACCCGACCGGATTACATACCAATATTTTTGTCATTTAATCACAAACTTAAGCAACTATACCCAAGAAACGGAAGTCTTCGCCCTATGCTCTTACTAAGAGCGGTGTCTTTATCCAAAGTATGATACATAAATACATTATAATAATAATAAATACATTGTAAATACACCAAGGAAATGATAATATCTTTACGTAATGTCTATCATATTTATTGTTACATTTCTAATATACTTTATAAATAATTATAAATTCAGTTATTATGCTTTTTAAACATTTATTATGCATTCAAATAACAATTTTGTACAAACAATACCAGAGTACTTTATTTGACAAGAGCATTTGTCAACTTGGAAATTTATTAATAAAAAAGCTTTTTATTAATAGTACAGAATACCAAAACCTTGACAAATTGTCAACCTTAACAAAAAAGCAAGATGGTGAATTTATCAAATACGCAGAACAAGCGGGATATTCTTATATGAGTCAAAAACGAGAAACAAACAGCATGGGCTATATACTTTAAGCATATTTAAATACTTTTTTCTCTATATTGAAAAATTAGGTTATTAATAAGTCAATGCTAACCCTAACATACTGTGTAATATATATATTGTATATGTCAACAAAAATAATTTATAATTCTCATGTGGAATTTCTTAAAAAAATTAACTTTAATGAAATTTTTATAACCTTGAAGTATAGCTTCGGTAGCTCAACTGGTAGAGCAGTAGACCGGAATAATCGCTGAGATTCCAATTTCAGAATCGAATGTGGCTGCAATTCTACGAGTCCTTCTCATAGAAAGCTGGGCATATGTGATAACGGATATCTACGGTCGCGGGTTCAAATCCCGCCTGAGGCAGTTTTTTTTTTAATTTTATATAAAAAAAAATATTTTAATTTGAAGTCAGTTTCCAAACTTTTACATATACTACTATATACTTGTAATCATTTTAAAAGAATCAAATTCAATTTAAAATACAATATATGAATATATATACTATAAATATTGATTTATTTATTATACAACAGTTTGATGAATGGATATATTATAATAGAAAGATTCACATAAATATTATTCTATGGAAAGGCTGTAGCAATGGAATGTCAAAATGACGTACTATAATTGACTAAAATTTATATTTTAAATTTTTTATGCAAATTAAAAATTATATGAGTGGATAGTATAATATAAGATAGACGAATAAAAATTCTTTGAATTTCTGTTTTTAAAAATTCAAAGTTCATTTTATATGTCTTGAGAGCAATGCTCGTCATTATTTTTATTTGTACTTTAAATGGTAATAGCAATATTTTTTTTTTTTTTTTGTTGAGATAAAAAAGCTACTCGCCTCATCTATTAAAAATATATTAATTCTTCTTATATATTATATTCTAACAGATATAATAGGTCTGTTCCACGACCTACTCGTAGTAACCCCATATATGGAGCGAAGATAATCCTCAAGCTGTTAACATATCACCATTACATCCATTAAAAGTGACTTTTTATAGGCGGTATCATAAGTCATTATTTCTTTCGAAATAAGAAAAGGACTGCCGTTACGGTGAATGGCGAGCGCTATCGAGCCATTCTGACTGAAGTTTTGTTTCCAAAAATAAATCAGTTAAACATCGACGAATTTTGGTTTTAACAAAACGGCGCAACTTGGCATACTTCAGAATCGATTTATCGTTAACAACTTTATTCCCAGAAACGGTCCTGTTAATTGTAACTGGTCCCCTTGTTTGTGCCATTGAGTGCCTCTCGATTACTTTATGTGATGCTATGTTGTCTTTAGTTTATGCCGAAAACCGACAAATCAGCAATTCTTGAAGCTTTAGAAGCCAATATTCATGCCACCATGGACGCCATACGGTGATATGTATTGCAAACAATAGTCCAGAGTCTATTATTTAATTATATAGATATATAGTACAAACATTTGTTATATTCATTTTAGTAGTGAAAATATGACGTGTGTAAATTTGCATTTTAAATATGAGACCTTCGAAGGACCTTTTCTTATCCTGAGATGCACATAAAGTCAGATATATATATTTGTTGAGGTGTTTGTAATGTGATGAAGGAGACAATGACTATCAGGTAAGCTTTATTTATTGCATATTATAATTATTATGATAATCCCATATCCCATAATCCTATATATGTATCATTCTGTTTCTGTTTCTGTGAGTGCTCATGTTACTTTGCATGCGAATGTCTAAGTTTTGATACTAAACGAAATAATATCTTCACAATAAATAAATAGTATAGAAAAAAATATTTTTCCATAGAAATGTGAACTATTTCTAACTTAAAAATATTTTAGTATTTAAAACACTGAGCAGTATTGAGCAGTGTTCATAGCCCCTATTTAACCCTTTGTACTTTGTACTATTAAATTATTAAAGTACAACGAGTGAGTATTTTGAAATTACTAATATTATTTAGAACATTGTTCTGCATTTATACAAAATTACCTTAAATCTAACTTAACTAGTTTTACTATCTGGGTTAAAATAATATGTTGTCTGTTATTGCTCATTTTAGTGGACTGTATTATTTTTAATTACATTTCATAGAAGGTTAAAAAAAAAGGACGGAAGTCCCGGCATTTGGGATTCTTCCTTCTATTGTTTTTACAAATATAGTTCTTTTTTAGTTTCTTAATTCTAGAAATTTATGCGATTACAGACTTATGATAATAAACTATAATAATATAATATAATAATTCATGTTCATGATTGAACACCCTTTATAGTCTATGCAAAAAATGTTATACTAGAGTCCTAATCAAAAGTATTTACACAACGAACATTTTTGTGCATATTGCACTAAAACAGATTTTTGTTGTTGTTGTTGGATATAAGTTGTAAAAAAATTTTTGTTGTCATTAAGCTTTATCTATGTACAACCAAATTAAAACCAAATTGGAAAGATAACTATTCATTTGACAAAAATAGAAGCAAATGCACTGATGATTATTAGTTATCAAAAGTATTTACACAAAACATTAATTTCAATTTCTTCTTCTTAATTAATAAATTTTTTTGAAATTTTTTTTTACTTATTTAATTAATATAATTATTATTTAGTTATACCACCTTTGCCATCAATAACTGCCCGCAACCTAGCTGGAATTGATTCAATTCCAAGTTGCGGATCAATTTGGATCAATAGTCCTATTATGTTTCATGAAGCCTCAAACATTTTCAATAACATAAAGATCAGAGTTCTGTGAAGGCCATAGAACAACTATGAAGGTATTCTCTCCATCATTCATGTTGAGTTGTTCTCCCGCTGCAGCGCTTAGTACAAAAATCCTTTCAGTGTAGAGTTGAGGATTGGAAACTCCGTCCTATTTAATGTAAGGACCAAGGCAGGTGATTGCTTTAAACAGACTACCCTGATAATCTGACAAAGGAAAGGTTCTTCTGACATCTGAATCATTCCAGTGTATATCGGACAGAAGGAATTGGCACTGATGTGGCAGTATTTTTACTAAAACAATGGTTCCAGAAGAAAGGTGGTCTGTTTTTAATTCGAAAATAATTATAAAATGCAGAAATTCTTACAGAAATATTTGATTTAAGAGCCATGCACCTTGAATGGCTGCATTAATATTAACTGCATTGCAGTTGAAGTTATTGAACAAAGTTTATCATTGAACTTCTACCCGAAAAGAATATAATAAAAGTTAGAAAAATAAAGTAAGATGAAAGAAATAGTGAATTGCAGATGTAGGAATTTTTCTATATACAATTAATTAAATATGAAATGACCAGAAGTGAGCAGCGTAGTAGGTACGATCTTACAGTTTGATAAAAGTCACTGCCTGTTTATAGTGAGACAGTGATACCATTTTGCCTATCATGTAGTATGATATCATACCATGCTGTACAGAGAGTTATGACTTGTATGAAAGTTACTATGATTTTGAAGATGTGCAGAGTTCGAGAAAAATTCTATGAGTACAGTAGGGAAGGTGTCTCTGGGTGAACTATACAAAGTCTCCAAAATTAAATTATCATACACTTTAGCGTGCATAAGATTCTTGGTTGGTTGCACGGATACAGATGAGGGATCTTTTAATTCAAATTCGATGACATCACACCAGCCAAATAGATCTGCGTGTCATGTATCGATATGGCGATAGCTACTTTATCTAACCAAGCTTAATACAACAATATGGTAGATTGAAGAGGCGATCATATAAACCGTAAATAGCCGAGTTTATACATTTCAAAAATTCAAATATAATTGTGACAACAAACTATATTAGTATTTTAATATACTAATATATACTATTTTTTATATTAATATTAAACAAATAATTATCTGGTACTTATCAAATTAAAATTTTTATCATAACATAAAGAACTTTATAAAGATAATTTAAATGTTCTCATATAACGAAATTAAGGTAATGATTTTAATTTTGCGGATATGAACAAATTTTATGTGGATTTCAAGAAAATTTTAAACTTACTATGGTAGCGTTGTCATGAGAATATATTGTCAGGGTCAATTGAGTCCCTCCATTTAGTTTGAAGATTATTTCAAGGAATTTTCGGGACTTTATTAGCCAGACAAATGGCAAACATAAATTGTTTAGCAATGTTGATCTTAAATCAGCCTCAATGACCGTAAGGCTCTCTAGAATTACTCTTTAAAAAGATGGCATTAGCAAATCATGAAATTGATTTTTCAAACCTTGAAAATACTGTCCATAATGTTAAGAAACTGAAAGAGAGTACTGAAAAGCAGTGCAACCCAATTTCACCTTTAATCTAGAAAAACTAGATATCTATTAAGAAACAAGGAACTACCTAATTAAAACAGTTCTTCCAGTCTAAGTCCGACAGTTTAAATCCAAAATTGTCAATGTCATTAATTGACTTTTAATTGGAAATTATATATTCCGTACATATAAAAACACGAGAACCATATTTTATATGAACTTTCACTTATCCAATAATTAATTAATAAAAAAACTCTTCATCTCATATTACTTCATTATTACAGTTTAAGCTATGTATGTGTTGTGACCTGAGATCTTTTTTTCAACCTTTAAAATATGTCTTGTTAGATTTAATTTCAAATCGAGAAAACTCCCTGATCCTAGATAATTGTGCTTGATAACTGTTTCCCGATTTTGATTCTATATAATGATTGATTTCTTAATGGCTAGTCACTTCTGAACTTAATTCAGTAAAAACTGATTCCCTTTCGGTTTAATTTTTTTGAGATATCTTGCTCAAGAAACCCCTTCGCATATTTATTACGCCTGAATATGGAAGAATTTGATAATACAAAACATTTTTCGTCTAAGTTATAATTAAATGACAGATGAGCTTTAAGTTAACACAACTGAATATCCTTTTAGAAGACAACGTCTTACTGAACGCCTCCGATAAATATGCATTCAATGTGCTAATCTTAACAATTTCTCCACAATTTTTGTATAAATTAATAAAACAAAACATGGATAATAACAAAAATAAATTTTTATTATACAATTAAATAATTCATTAGTTTTTTAACCAAAAAATAATTTTAATTTATAGGGCTGTATCTAAATAAACATACATACAATATTGATTTCTTCAATAAAGTTATTCCATCCATTCACGAATTCAGTTTTAAAAGCATATTCAAGTAGTAGAATTTTTAATCCAAAGTTTAGTTTTCGTTAAAATTAAAGCACTCATCTTTTCTCATTGGAGCGTGTTTTTCAATGACATTCAAAAGGACATCGTTTAGAAAGAAAAGTTTAAGATTTACACACCACATGCACATGTGAACCATCACACACTTTATCCATATTTCAATATTGCTAAATCGAAGGATCAATTAATCCCAAATATTCTATATTATGGGTTAGGGTTAGTACTCACTGTGATAATGGGAACATATGAAAGAAAATTATGAATGTTTCGCTGCATCAGGACAAGCCATTTGGTATAGAAATTGAACCACAGTACGGGTGGGGCGACCAGTCATACGATTCTTCAACAAATAGGGGATAGTACCAAACTTAGTCAACATGCCAACACCGCGTGTGTCTAAATGAGCCCAATCTACACAGGGCAGCAGCTCCTGTTTGGGGATTTTTATAAGAAATCATTTTATTAATTATAATGTTCCTGTGCCCGTTAAGAACAACTTACATGAAGAATAGCAGCGGCTAAGCATGATGACGCTGGTCCGCTTCCATTGTTACTTATGTCAAAGCTGATATGATCTAGAGATTAATTGCATTCATTAATATAATGATTATTATATTTTTTACTTCTTAAATACAGTTTTATTAATTTTTCCTAATTAATCAGTCTGATCTGCATATAAAAATATTAGTAAAATTATGATTTATGTGAAGTGCCTTCATCATTCTAAAATAAATTGGATTTTTAATAATTTTCATACTCATAGAACACTATACCTATACCTCATCTGGCAGTATGAACTGTGCATACCACAGCATGTTTACATATTTTATCTTATAACAACAAATTCCATTATATTAATGCATTTTAAAATTAAATTTATCTATGCAGAACTCTTTCTGTAAGAATTCTGTACGATCACTTGATTCGGACTCAATGTCCATTTCAATTTTTTAAATCGCTTGATAATTTTGTATGTTATTTAAAAAGAATTCAACTTACTAGTAACTAGTTTCTTGTAGAATTGCCATAACGGGAAACGCCACACCCTATCGCCAGTTAGTGCCCCTGCTTTTTGGAACTGCTTCCATATGAAATGGGAGTTTGAGAAAATTCCGGTTGCCCCTCCACCCAGACTCTTCTGCACACCATAGCCTAATGTTGCAACATCAACAACCAATCTCGGCTTGTAGGTAGCTTGCCCATATAGTATGGGATCCGCCATAACGGCAACTCCAGCTTTGTCAATATCCTAGAAAGATTAATAAATAGGTTCAAAAGTATTAAAATATGTTTTAAAGTACAAACCCTAATGGACATGTTTTTCCCATTGAGTAGCTTGACAACATCCCCAGGCTTGCAAGACATTCCGGATGGCATATTTTCGCATAATGGTATAACGGCGGATATGTTAATTGGAAGTGAGAGTGCGGCAGCAGCGCGTAGTGTTGCCACCACGACTGCAGCTCCGCTCATAGCTCCGCGGTATTCATCCATACCTTTACAGGTCCGTAAATTGATACCACCACTGAGAATATGAAAATAGAATACAAATGCAAGAAGACTCAACCATTATATTATTTTATTTTACCTATTAAAAGTGATGCCTTTTCCCACTAACAAAACTGGCTTATCTTCTGGTGCCGTGCCACAATAATTGACTTCCAGTATTAGGGGTGGTTCACATGAGCCCTTAGCAATCATCAAGAATGAGTTTATTTGTTGCTGTTCAATCCAATCCATTGTTCTTATTTCGACGGTTACACCACAAGGACATAGCGCATCGACAGCGTTCTGGGAGAAGATAGTAGGTGTCATTAGGTTGGCCGGAGTATCTGATAAACGACGTGCTAAATTTTGGGCCTCAGCTTTGAATAGGCCGCGTGTCCATGCATCCATATCAGGATTATCATAAATTTCCAATTTAGGTACTCTTGTCCGACGCATTTTATCTTTAAGCTCGTTATATCTCCAAACTGCAAGCGAGCTGCCTTCAGCCGCTTGTTCCGGATACTCCATGGAATCCAAATAGATCTCGGAACACTGTTCCATCTGCAAACTGCGAGCGCCAACTGCTGCTGCTACTCGGGCATTTTCCTTGATTTTCGGAACGAATAAGTAATGAATATAAATATAATAAATGCAGACACTTTAACAATATCGCAGAGAAAGTATTATTATATATGTTATACAAGTCGTTCAAGGTACATAAGAAACTTGTTACATTCACATATACACATATACTTTTAATCAAAATATCGAACGTTCCAAAATAAATTTATTCTAATAAAATTTTCTATCTTCTTCGAATTAAATAATAATGGTAATATGGAATTGAATGAGATAAAATTTTTTTTCTTAAGAGATAAAGAAAAATTCATTCCGATCAATGACAGGAATAGTCTTTTAATATTAAAGGTCATATATATCATTTAATTTTATTACACTTCTAAAAATATTAAGAATGAATCAAAACTTCTAAATTTTTATGTAATAATTTTTACTTTGACATTTTCGTCAACTGTCAAAAAAAATAGAAAAAAAATTTTTTTTTCTGCAGATTTTTGATTTGCGCAAGGTCTCAAAAACTGTTTTTTAAAAAGCTTTTAAGATTTATTTTATTTACCATGCCTTCGTCAATCATCTCCAGCTCATTAAACCCAATGCCTTCACGACCTAATCCGACTATTGCAATGGATCTGAATTCGGTGTCAATGTTATTAAAAACTTTTCCCATTCCCACCTTACCCTTCATTTCACATCTGTGCAAATATATTTTATGATATAAATTATATTAACTATAAACTTCTGTTCTAATTGAACTTACACTTTAACAACCTCGGTGATCTTACCCTTGACACGGTCGTCAAACTTCTCTCCGCTGCTAGTAAGCCTTGGAGGATTACCCTCCTCCTCCTGATACAAGCCGAGCACGAGTCCTTTTAACTACAAAAAAGTATATTAAGCTTCAAAGTGGCGTGGCATTTCTGAGAAACTTACATTAGGCTTTCTTCCACCATCATCAGAGAAGAAGCGAGACGAAACATTGACTGCTTTTAAAAGGTTTAAAATGTGGGGCGGATGGCAGCGGACCGCATTACGTAAAGCCACAAATGAACTAAAAGCCATTTTAGATTTTCACAATAAATTTTGATTCCAGACGATTTTGAGTATATACTTCTTCTTGATATTTTTTTTTTATGAACGTACAATATTTCATTTGAACCATAATATTTTTTACTTTTTATTTAAAAAAAGCAAAGCCTACTAAATTTTGATTTTATACTTTTCACTGTAGAATGAGTAAAGTAAGAGATATACATCTATTCAGTTTATTAATATGTTTGTAATATGGTGAAGACGGCGATAGATGTCATGAAAGTAAGGGCCATCTTATAAAGAGAGTCACAAGGAAAAAGCTTGTTTTTTGGAGAATAATATTATATAGCAATTGTCAAATGCCTGTCCTTACTACTATTTTGGTACGTTTTATTTGTGCCTAAAATGTGAAAGGTAATGTTTTTATATAAATACACATATTTACTCCGAATAGGCGTAAATACTGACATTTTTTAGAGAGCTATACTATTTTAAGCACCGTGACGAAACGCAGAAATACTCGACACCGTGACCAAAATTAAATCAAAAGTTTTTCTAAGTGATATAATTGGTCACTTTAGGTTGAGAGATGCGTTATTGTAATTATTTGATAGAACCTCTGTACTATCCCGGTGACGGGTCTGCTTTGTAGTCAATTTTGATATTCAGGATAGAAGTAGGAAATGAATAGAGAATAGACTGTATGAAATTATTCACTTAGATCGTAAGGTCCGCGGAGTTACTGGTTGAATAACTTCCAAAATTTTCGATTTCTAAACATAAAACTGAGCAATTGGATAGTTTTTTCCTCAGATTGAGACTAAAATTAAAATATTCTTGATGTCCAGTTGATATACCTAAAGTGCTCTAATAATTGTAGAAATTTTCGATTTAGAAGAACAAATCATCGATTAGGATTGATAATAGACAGATACTTAACATTTTATACATCAGAGCTATAATCATAGTTGGACATGAAGCTAAGCACACAGATCTAGTTGTTAGACAAATAAGTAAACAATAAAAGGATTTTCTTCTGCGTTGTCACTTCTAATCTTGGATGAAACCCAAATTATGTAATAACGCAATAAAAATTATGTCCTTACATTTTAACTTAATATAAAAGAGATCGTCCATAAAATATAGAAGATCTCAATGAAGTGATTTGTTTGGAAGCACGTCGTTAAGATGCAACATTCCCTCAAAGTACGTCAAAATTTAATAAATTTTATTTGATTCCCTTCTATTCGAGATGAAAAATTGTAACTATATAATATTATTTGAAACCTTCAAAGGATTCCATTAATTACTTAATATTATTTAAAAATCCCATCAAAAGTTATTTGACGTAAATGGCGGAAAAACGCTCAAAAAGTTTAAAGACTAAAAGCCAAGTCCATTTTGAATTGAATATAGCGAGTCTTAGGAAGATTACAGAACCCATAGTTTATGATAAGTATATACATGGTATCATAAAAATATTTAAAATAGTTAAATGATTTTTGATTCTTAAACATAAATGAATATGGGAATATTATTATATGAATCAAAAAAGAAATAAACAATTAAAACTAAATAGGATATATATTTAAAGCATATTTAAATACTTTTTTCTATGTATCGAAAAAGTTAATAATAAGTCAACCCTGAATATATTGTGTATGTATATGTGAATAAAAATAATTTATAATTCTCATGTGCAATTTTTAAAAATTTTAACTTTAATCAAATTGTTATAAACTCGAAGTATGGCTTTGGTAGTTCAGCTGGTAGAGCGATAAGCCGGAATGTCCCAGGTGATCAAACCAGTGAATATGGTTGCAGCATATGTGGCTTCAATTCCGCGGGTCTTTCTCTCTAGGGGATGGGGGATAAAATTGCATTCGGCATTTATTATGCTTTTAGGAATGATTTCAAACACGTAGAGAAATTTTTTTTTGAAATTTTAGTCTTTATAAATTCAGAATGCATTTAACATGTTTTGAATTTTTATAAAGTCGTTATATTAACTTGTACTGTAAATGCTAAAGGGGATATTCTCTTTTGTCGAAATAAAAACGCTCTTTGAGTCATCTAATACAAGTACATCAATTGTAAATGCCAACTGATATAACATATATATTGAGTCTATAATTTAATAATATATGTTCAACGTATAAATATATTAATTTTAGAAAAAAAGAGTTTTTGAATAATTAACTCGTTTTATTGAAAATGCCAACATACATTGGCCGATATGTCCGTCAGTATATCGAAACAATCCTCTAAATGGTTTCCTTATCTTCAAGCGTGCTTATTTTAAAAGTGGAGAAGATAAAAATAGTAAGGTGTCAAATTATGTATATAATAGAGGTATATTCTATTGGCAATATTCTGAAATATATATTCAGTTTTAGATATTTGAGGTGTAATTGAAGTGACAGTGGATATCAGACCAGCTATGGTATATTTATTTTTGATTGTTATAAGGAATAGATTCATCTATGTAAGCTCTTCTATAAGTATTTTAATCTATCTTATGCATTTGCGTTGAAAAACTTTTTTGGTTCCAGTGAACTTTAAATATTAACAGTTTTAATATTTTTTCTGAGGAAATGATAATGTATGTGAACAAGATTCTGCAGAATGCAAGCAAACAAACACAAATATAATACTCGTAGGTGTGTAGCAATGTGCATTGCTTGTTATTTTCAAATTATTCAACATTTAGTTTTTTATTTTGGTGTATGTGGAAACCATTGCAAGCCATAATGTGAGATTTGAACCCAGTAGTCACTACAGCCGCGGTTGAAAACTAGGATGATGGAGGGATCAGAGTCTCACTCAACGAGGTAAAGGGATGGAGGGAGGGATTTGTGGCGTAAGGTCTAGACGAGGTCCGCGGAGAAGGTGCTAGGTGCTAAGATATCAGATGGGAGGTTGTGTAGCCGGGTGAGGCACCTTCAGGCGAGTGAGGTACTCGTCGATGCGAGTAATTTTGGTGGAAAGAGTTGGAAAAGTGCTTGCCGTCAGGCTTGTGCTTGTAATTGGAATACCGATCATTTATACGCTTAAGTTCTTATATGGCTGTTTTTTTTTCAGATAATAAATAGTTAAAGTTTTTGTCTAAATTATAAAAACAAATATATATTTTTAAGGTATTTTTAAGGGATTTATTTTGTTTTTTTTTTAATTTTTTTTAAACAAAATCGCTTTTGTCCATTTTTTTTGTCTATATTAACAGTAGATAGTGTCGGCAGCCAATGTGCAGGATTATCTTACGCTACATTATAACATTAACATATTAAGTGGACATTCAGAGGAGTCCATGACCACCAAGACCGAGACCGAGACCATGACCACCGAGTCCAAGACCAAGACCAAGACCGCCAAGACCAATACCACCAAGGCCAATACCGCCAAGACCGATAGCTGGTGCACCTACCACAGCACCCTTTGCTAACAAAGCTGGGCCAGCAGCAATTGGGACGGCAGCAGGAATGGCAGCAGCAATTGGAGCAACAGCAGCTGTATGTACGCCGAGAGCCAAGGGACTGCCAATCACTGAAGCGTGCGCGGTGTAAGCCAAAGCAAGAACAACGATAACAATTGCGAACTGAAAATAAAAAAGTTCGATGAAAATTGTTTGAACGAAGGAACATCTCAGGATGTATTCAATATCCTGTAGTTTTACTTACTTTCATTTTGATTTTTTGGTTTTTTTTTTTTGTTTTTCTACTGTTTAATGTTTAAACTTGAACTGACGCTTTCTGCAACTGCGTCTGGAGTTTTTATAGTAGAAGTGAAACTTCTGAAGAAATGTGCAGTTGGCATTGTCTGGGAAAAGTAGCATAGGCGGAAGACGTAAGCAAACAGTAATGGATACATGAATTAGACCAGAACCTAACCGAAAGTGGTAAGTTGAAAGTGGTTTTGTACTACACTCCATTTCTATGCTACTGCCAATTGCTTTTGGCGCTTGATTAATTTGCATATCGTTTCTTTAAATTATTGCAATTGAAATAATTAAGTGTGCATAAATTAATCTTGGACTGCTGCGAGCATGGCTAGTTCTGTAAGTAGTACTTAACTTGATTCTTTTTCAATAACCCACAATCAATATTCATGAAAGACAATTACAAAGCAGTTTACTCGACATTCAATTAAACTCTAAGTTCAATATTAATTCGTCGAGGTTAGCATAGAAGGTAATCAATTTTTTTTCTTTTAAGGTTTACAACCAAAACATTTGAGATCTATAACTCTATTTATTCTAAGCTAATATTACAAATTAATATAAAACAACTTAAAGAATAATTTTAAAAAATTCTTAATAATTCTTAAACAAATTTTTAATAAATAAACAATCATTTATTTCGTAAATACAACTAATATATAATAATAAATAATAAAATGTTCAAAGAAACTCTGTAAAGGAAATTTATTTAATAAAGGAAAAATTTTAAATAATAAAATGACTTTAGTTTTATTGTCGTGTCAGTTGTTTCTCAAAAATTAAACGGGTTAAATGGTTAACTACACTTGAATTTTTTTCCTTCAAAAAGGATCTTCATTGGAGCCCATATATATATGCCCACGTTTTCTTCACTCTTCAAAACATTTCAGTAAATTTTTTAATTTCACTGAAATTGAAAAAATGAAAACCATGGTCTATAAATACCCAACTTTTTGAAATAAGTAAAAATGAAAAAAAATAAGGACGAAGAACTATCATTATGTTTGTACATTATTAACCAACACAAAACACAACAAATCGCCAAACGAAAAGATATATGTTATAACAACACCACTTCCAAATTCTTCGCAACTCTTTTTCACAACTGAGAGATGTGCCCATATTCCATTTAAACATCTAACTTTATTAACAATCTTAGCTTTAAAACCTGTTGTTACTTAAGAAACTTGCAGTTCATCAAATTTATCTTTAACTCTTTAAATATTAGATGGATGAATAGTGACAATCATCGATCCAGCATTATTTAGTAGAACTTGATATCTACGTATTTGCAAGATACATTTAGCGCAAAAATACAAGCGGGATGATTGTCTTTAATGTCGCAATTTCAGGGAACGGAGACTTGAGTAATTAGAAATCAATCTATATTTTCACCGCAAAATTTAGTTTCACAATGGCTGTGTCTGCCTCAATGTCTTTCTTGATGAGCAATATTTTTGCATTTGATTAAAAAAAATCGAATAGGGATCCATTAGCTATCAACACATCTAGAAAAATAATTCTTATTGTAAAATAAAGAAAATGAAAGCGTCACTATTATCAAACGTTGTTAAACGTTCATGTCGTTCCTAAAAGTACGGGAACATGATCTAAAAGTCTTTAGATTTTAACATGAGATTGTACCGCTCACCGCACTTTAACTGAATTTGTCGATTTATTACTAAAAGAATTTTGTGATAATCAAAATTTTCTGAAGTATATAGAACCGTTGCCTGGTAATCAAAGTCATGAGATCTGCGACGCTTAAGTTCTGTCTGTATGGGTAATTGAAATCATCGGCATGTGCGGCTTTAAGTTAATATTTACAGTACTTTAGATTTCTTAAGAAAACAATCTGAACAGAATTTTCAAAATCATGGAAAGGTATAATCATGAGCGTAATGACAAAGCTTCGATTAGAAATTCCCAATAGCTATCAATACAGTCGAAGCATTGACTCTCAAAAGATTAACAAGTACAAGAGTTGAGTTCCATGGCTATATTTGAGAAACTAAGCATAGCCATTAAACCATACTTATCGAAATAATGTTCAACATTTGTGTGATGTGTTTTATCAGTTAATTAGACAAAGACGAGTCTTGGAAGAATTGGTTGTAGGAGAAAAAGTAAACGAAAGAAAATGAAAACAGGGAGGATTGACGATTGGATCAATGGGGAAATTGAAATTTTTGGACAGATAAATAAAATCATTAACCGCAAAAAATAATATACATTTCGAATACTTCATCGCACACTTTCAAGAGTAAATGACTGAAACAAGAAGAAGTCCAGTATGACTTTTGCCAGTTAACTTAAATCTTAACTTAAAATTATTGGATTAAATTTGGATAATTACATGGAAGCATTTATAAAAAAAATAAATAGGTTTTCATGATTCTAGTTTATTTCCAATACAAATATTTGTATACCTATATATGTTACTATCTTTTAATGATTAAATTCGGCTTGTGATAATGTTTTCAAAAAACCATCAAATGATATGAGTGTAAAGTTTATCTCTGCAATAATCCATATTTCTCTATTTTGAGTATTTTACCCAATTTTTGAACTTTGTGCCTTTGAAAAGCACTCTGAACATAATGAATTGGTGGTGTGGTTGTAGTCTATAAGTGTCTAATTCAGTATTAAAGAAACAACCGTCGGGCTGTGCGGAAGGCTGGTTCGGAATAATAAAAAAAATTTAACCAAAACTACTTTCTATACTACGAGCTCAATAAGAATTCAATTTACAGTACTACCTTGTGTAATTTAAAGTATGTGAAATATTAAAGGAGAATTTAAAATAGATCGTTTTCAATTCATGGTCACCGATTTCGACGCGTTCTTAAGATTTTGTTATTAAATATATCTCATGATAATATGATCCGTAATGTTAAGAACGCTAGAATCATTGAAACTGTTAAGTGTTAGTAATAAATCAGTTAAAGACTGTGCCACTCTATTTCTCTTGGTGACGTCAATTTTAACCACATCAACTAAATTAGTTATATCAGTTAACAACGAGCAATCATTCAAATCATATGATACGAGTAATATGCTTTCAGTGACAAAAGTGTAGGTCATTTGAATCCTGCTATGGTATCCTGGCATGGAAAACCTTGATAGAAGGTGTGAAACCTATCAAATCAAAGTACTGCTATCACAGACATAAGTTATACCGAATGCATCATATATTTGTGACACTAAGCCAGTGCGTTTTGCTAAATAAATGTTCCAAGTGTTCACTTCAGTTCAGTTGAAGGAAATACATATATGTACATATTCTTAAAAGATAATTATAATCTTTCCGATTAAATTCAAGAAAAAAATCTGTATAAACTTGATAAGATAATTTCAAAAACATTTTTTTCAAAAGTTGAACCAAATAATGTGCTTAGAGATTTAGTTGCTTTCTATATATACTTCAACTTATTTCCTGATGTTTTTTAACAATCTTTCATAATATTGAAGCCTAGCTAATCAGTATTTATCTAATACTTTAATTATGAGCATTGAATAGTCTAATGGAATATTATATTGCAGAAATAAGAGCAGAAGGATACATTTTAAGGATTCGTAAGTTTGTGAAACGTTTTATTAATATTTAAAATTTAATATTTGAAATTTAATATAAAATCTAAGAAGTAAAAATCGGTGTTATTAATTTTTAAAAAGGTGGGCATATCTTCAGTTAATTAATCGATCATTTATATTCTTTTAGATTCTATAATTCAAACTGTTTGTTTTCTTAAATACCTATGACACTTTTCGAATAGACAATATTTTAATACACTTATCAATTGTGATATATTATACCAGTATAATTCGAATTTCGCTTATGCTTTTCACAGTGGACGTCCATTATGCCCGCTACTAATAATAAATAAGTGCTTTAAGAATATGAAGAGACGAACTCAGCTGAACTCTAAACTCTATGGTCATATATCACACGAAGAAGTACGATTATTTGATTTCTTTCAGCCAACAGCTATATATTATAGTCATATATTTCATTAATAAGTGTAGCAACATAATTTTCAAGGCACTACTTATACCAATTAATAATTTCAGTGTAAATTTTTAGATAGGACCAAATCAGGTCCTTTCTCTATTGAAGCAAACTAACAAATCTGTCAGACATTCCAACTATGAACCTTAAATGAATAATATTTTTCATTATTTATACGGTTGGCTTGAAAAATTTCTTTTTTAATTGTATTTAATTGTACATATGTATATTTGATTCTTAAACTAAATAAGAAGTCACAAGTCATATTCCTACAAGTATATAAGACAGACCTGTCCAAAAGCACGGCCCACGGCCACAACATTATAACCGTATTATTATTTTTGTCGAAAACGACTATGAACGTATGAATTTGTTTCTGCGACCCTCCAATCTGTACAGATTGGATATATCTGATATAAAATATTATATATCCACTTATATGTGTATATAACTGGAACCTAACTTAAAGCTTTGTGTCTGATTCCTGAAATGGAATTGAGGTATTCTAGAAAAAATCAAATTTTGTTATTAAGTTAATTATCGAAAAGGTATTATAATCACAGCTTTCATCAAATGAAGTTCATTGCACTATTTTTTTAAGGGATACTAGAATATCCCAGACTGTCAGTTTTAAAACAATAATTAGTCAAAATAAATTTGAAAAAATAATCCCGCTGATAATATGTAAATATGTATCTATATAAAACATTTAAAAACTTCTATATATATTCAATATTTTATTGACATATTAACATTGATATTTTCACTTCCTTGATATTTTTTTTATAATTTTTTTTTCCTTTTAGTTCTTTGTTTGCAATTAAATCATTTGGTCATTTCATCATATTTTTCTTTCTATTTATTTCAAACTATCATTTAGCCGACAAGTATTGTGCCAGGCCAACCATTAACAACGACTGGTCCAACTGCTGGCCAACCGAGTGGTACACCATTCACAACCACGGATCCTGGTATCACCGAGGCTTGAGCCACAATAGTCAAAATAGCCAAAATGAGGAGAATAGCAAACACGAGAAGCTTGGTATGAAAATTTAATTGATGTGTATTTTAATTAGATGAAAATATACAATATTGAGATTTTGCAATGCTTACTTTCATCATGGCTGGAAGGTAGGTTTGCTGTTTGCTTAGTTCACTTAACTGCAATAACTTGAAGAGTTGACTGATGATACCAGATGCTCACATCTGAACTTTTATACTAAAAATGCATTCAGAAACATAAACAATTATTCAAATATTCATTGCAACTCATTATTAAATTGCAAATCATTTCAGAGCAGATGTCGTTACAATTACAATAATCAGCGGCTAACATCTTACAATGCAATTACTTTTAGGGTGCAGTTTCACGGCAAATACGTATCATCACAGTTCAATAAAAATTATTTACTATTTTTTGATTAAAGGAACCTTTTCAAATTTTCCGGAAATCAATTCTTTAATATATCACGGCGCTTCTTTTATCAAGAAAACCTTAAACTTTAATGATCTTCAATAAGTTAACGGGGAAGAATCCCTAATAATCTTGATTTTTTTTCTCTTAAAAGGGTTAATTTAATCCGCAAATGCCCTTCTTTCTTTTGAAAGAGAAAAGTGTTTTTTTTAACAGATATTTTGAGAAATATTTAAAAAATACCAACTTTTGGGAGAAAAAGAGGTAAATTTGGGTGAGGAAGCCTAAAATAAAATTGCATGTTCATTTTTTTCTAGAAAGTTTATAGAACGCGCAAAATTTGTTTTTTAAAATAAGAAATTTTTTATTAACTAATCTATCAGTTTCCTAGGTTTAACCTATTATTGCCGAAAATTCAAATGTTTAAGAGAAGAACGGATTAAAGACTTGAATTCAACAGCCATGAATAATATGAAAGCATGTAATTAATATACTTGTAAGATAGATTCCATCCTTTCTTATTTATTATGATTACATACTGGACTGGTAGAAACGTCTGGTTTATTTATGAAGCTCAGCATGGTCCCCATTATCGATTTAGCAACATCAAATGTATATTATCCTATTAATCGTTGATACAATGATTGTCATTACAAGCCATTTTTATGTTGCTTATTATGACAACATACATCACAGGTAAGTACGACTATCTTATCTCTAGGGTAGCATTTACAGCTAATTGGATCCGCAGCAATGTGGTTGACACTAAAAACCATTTATATTTTCTTTACTATAATTTCTTACTTGACAGATAACTTTGAAGGGCTTGTTTGTTAGAAAGCCCTGGTTAAACCTATTTAGATCCTTAACTATATTGAATGAACAAGCGTTAATAAATGAACTACTATTATAAACTATACAATTATAAAAGTTTTTAAGAAACATAATAAACCAAAGAAACTATATATTAATATATATTAATCAACCTAAGAGAGTTACAAGCACGAATCTTTGTATTGAGGTAAAAGTGCACAGAAGTTCAAGTAAGTCACATATAGCATATATCTTATTCAAGATATATATATTTATATATATATATATATCTTATCAAAAAATTTTCAATATATTACTAATACTTCAGAACAATGCTCTTGCAAAACTTATACCACTTCTAAACAAAGGGAATGCAATTTGGAATCTTAACTAAAGTACAAATCCTATACTTTCCATCATTCTAATAGCGACAGATGTGGTTTGGTGGTAACATATATTACAAAAGAGACTTTATAAAATGTTGGCTTTGTTTCTTGAATCTCAATTAGTTAGGATTCTGCTAGAACTAAGCACCCATTTAGCCCATTTCATAGTTATCAAAAAAGATGACTTTACCTATAGAAAAATGAAAACGTAATAATTTTTTTTTTAATCAGAATTTTTACCAAAAAAGTAATTTAATGATATTTTACAGTTCGACCATCTACTATACAAGATTAAAATATTAAACTGATAAGTAGTATATAATGAATGCAGAGTAAATGAAAATTATTAGGCTTCACAAAGAAGATCCTGAGATTTCAAGAATCCTGAGTAAATGAAATGATTTAGGATTGTTGTTCTGTAGTAAACTGTCTCCACCATTATTTTTTATTGCTTCCTATTTTTTGCTTCCTGACAGATTTTAATTTCGAAATAATTTGTTGTCATCAATCCTTGATACTTCTACAAGTATCAGCTGGCACTCCCGGTTGATTTACGCGATCACGTTTCCCGGTTTTCGTCAGACGTGATCTAGACTTACAGTTTTCTGTATGATTAGTTGATTGTTTTGTAACGATTTACAAATTCATATTACTGCGCGCAGATATTCACTCACAAAAATTTTAATTGCTTTCATTTTATTCTATATCTCGTCGGCGGATAAGGAATATAATATATATACCGAATTTACTTTAGAGTGTCGTAACTCTACAATTCTCCAAGAGTTGATAATGAACTGCTACAACAAATGTACTCTTAACAACTAAAAATAATCTATAAAATTCTAGAGATTCGTGAACATTTTACGACATATTTTAAATGATTTTTTGTAATATTATTAGTAAGTTTGGCAACAGTTCCCATCCACTTTTCATTGGACCATTATAACCAGTATTCAGCTTTCCTCCACAATTTGAGTTGTTCACAAATAGAGTTTTTTCAGTTTATCTTCACTAAATCTGACTTATTTTTGGCGTTAGTTTTTTGAGTCAAAGTTATTAAATAATAGTTTTTTTTTATTTTGAAATAACCCTTCTTTACAAACTATCGCCACGCATCTCCGATTTGCACCCATTAATCAAACAGAATTATTTCCTCACTTCTGTTATAGCTTTTATTGCCTCCTGCATTAATTTAAAATTGTTCAATGTTTGAATCACCTATCTCATTTCAATAATCGAATAAACAATAATTAAAACAAAAATTCTTTATTGGAATAAATTAATTTTGTTTTAAATGTTATTAAATGTTATTAAATTGTGTAGACTTAAAACTACAGAACCAAACCAGAACAATAATTAGACATATATGCGCAGATCCTATTACAAATGTGAATTTTTTTTAATAATTCTATTGAATATCAATTAAGTTTGTATAGCTAATAGTTTGATGGATTCAATTACAAAAATAAAAATTTTTAAGAAAGTATTCTTTCCCTAAGAATATCTACTGCCTACTTAAGTAAGAGTACTACAAATTGTGAGGCTGTATATTCCGTCAAAATGACAGGGAATGAGAAGAACAAGTATTAAACACTTTATTATTAAACTTTTATAAATTTATTAATTATATAAAAAGATGTTATGAGTAGTTTCCCAATTAAATAACAACTATTGCTAATAGAATTGAACTTAAACTACAATAAAAAATATTTATAAATTATTTTTCTTCTTCGAAAAGCTCACTTTACCTTAAATTTCTAAGTGTTCGTTATTATAAGTGTTCGTTAAATATTAAATTTTGCAACATTATTATCCACAATTAGATCACATAACGCATTGAAGCCTGCAAGAAGAAAGAATAATGGATTAGTTAAAAGTAATATAAAAAAACCTTCAAAAATTACCCGGATGAGTGCAGAAAATATTGGGATGAAATTAATATACAGGAAGAAATTGTTGTCAAAGCTATATATTTCTACTTAAGTTCACGAATGATTATTCGGTAGGTAAGTAGGTAGGTAAAAGCCCACTTGAACTCAAATGATGACCCATTGTGGTACGATAGGAATAGCAGTAGTACGTAAAAATATTTAAATCAGTATACAGCAAACACCGAAAAAGGTAACGACTCACCCATTAGGTAAAGGAAAACTAACCTGACAGTTATATAAACTTGGCCAGGCTTCTAACATTACAGGATGACAGCTCAGTTAGATCGGCGAGGAAAGGGGATCCGAAGATTTTCAATCTTCTTCTAGCTAAAGAAGGACACGAATGATTATTACTAGCATCAAAAAATGAAATACGTACAAAATTTAAAAGAATTGAAACCCAATGATCACCTTCGTTTTTCCTATTATATATACTTAGCCCTTTTCTATCGTATTTGAATTTGTATATCCGACTTGTTGTTATTCTTCTGTTACGTGTTGATTTAGGAAGTTGCAATTCATTCATATTCTTGTGATATAATTTTGATAACAAGGCCGGTATAGCATCGCTGTTTAGATTTGCCGGTATAACTGAATCGATTTTTCAGCTCAGTCTAAGCATTCATCAAACCCATTCTATGTAGAATACAATATCAATTTCCAATTAATATGTTCAGTCGGAAGTGCAGAAAGGTATTAGTAGTACAGCAGATCATTTGAAAAAAGAAAATGATGAAATATTATTTGCCAATGACATGATTTTTTTTTATTTTATTAAATTTTTATTAAAATAAATATTTATTTCAATCTGAAAATGGACTTTGCATTTTATTATTATTGAGTGTAAATCGAACACAATGGTTACAAGCGCACAGACAAACTCACATGCCAGCAACAAGTTTGCCCGATTTAGAGCCGTCCTACGAACTGGAAAACAACAGTCGCGAATTTTATGGAAACTGTAGCAACTAAAACAACAATAAAGAAAAACATTGTAGCAGAATTATTATAAATGAGTTAACAACTGCAGCGGCCAAGCCCAATAGACTGTGAAATTAACAAACGATCGATGGACAGGCTGAGAGACGGACAAGTGGACGGACAACATCTTATAAAATAATAAATCGTACACTGCTTGTAAGCCGGGTTGCGCCCACAATGAGAGCATGCAGTCAAAACTGGACATGGAAATCAAGCAAAAACCCGTAACAAAAGCGGATTGTATGCAAATCACCTCAAGAACGATCGATCGAGGCGAACTTTTCTGACCAAACCACATATTTCGCATCAACAAAACACCAGCACATAATTTGATACAAAATATAGTAGGTAAAGGGTAAAGTAATCTACTGATTATCTACAAGAAATTCATTTTAAAAGAATGTAGAAATTTATATTTAAAATAAAAAAAAAACCAAAAGAAAGTTCATAAACGAGGCTCTATGCTATATATTTTTTTTTTGTGCTTAGAGTAAGTTTAAAAGTGCCTAAGGCATCGTCACTATATTGTTACAATAGTGGTATGTCCGGTCTGCATGGACTAAACACAATCCTCTTCGTGTGTCCTACCATTTCTACCCTGGAACTTTATCGGGAATACTTTAGGGTAGGGTCCCTCTATGCTCCGTAAGAAGATAGGAGTTGTTGTGAGTTGTGAATGATAGTAGTTAAATAAGAGGATAAGAGAAAAAGGAGAAATCCACAAGACATACAAAACAAGTAATAAAGTTTTAGAAAAAAGACAACATTTATTGAAATAATTAAAATTAAAACAAGAGCCAAACAGGGTCTTATTAAAGTGTGAACTATCTTCCGCGTGATTTTTTTATTCTTCAATGAAGCTCAGCGCTTATCTATTTCATGGTCCTAACTTGACAGCTCTGTTTCAGTAACATATGTTACAAAAATCTGATCTATTGTAAACCGTATCGTTTAACAACCGCTTAATACAAGAAAGAAAAGTTACAATAGACATGGAGCCGATTTCTGCGTTGAAATTTCAGTGATGAGGCTTGCTATAACAAAACTGTCGCATCTACTCACTTACTTACTTAGTTGGATATTACAGATGTGAGTCGACCTTGACCGCGTCGAGTAGCCTCCGCCAGTCAGCCCGATTAGTTGCTTGCTGTCGCCAGTTGGTAGTAGCGAGTGCCCCCAAATCGTTGGTCGTATTTATGGCAATGAAAATTCATAAGTAACATTAATATATTAAAATAAAAATAAGAAAGTTGAGGGAAATCTCAATGACACTATGTTTTTTTACGTTTATTTTCGTAACTTCAAAGGGATATTACAGTAAAAACAAAGTCAATTTTTATATTCTCAGGTGAAATTTTTTAAAAAATGCAATTTCACCAAAGTTATTAAAAATAATATGGCTCTGGTTACTGTGTAGGATTCGAACCTGTGCCTATAAGTTTTGGACTATAACTGATAAGACACCAGTTTTTACTAGCTAAAATTTACAGGTACGGGTTCAAATCCTGTCTGAGGTAAAATGTTTTTCAAATAAAAAAAAATGTTTTTTTAATTTTCTATAACTATATATCGTAATATGACAATTATATGATGATGGAGTGTAAGTATATGTATATAAATTACTCTAAAAACGAAAGATTATTTCACATTTTTCGCAAAAAAATTCTGCATTCTGTCTATCTCTCTCACTCATTCTGATTGCCTTTCCGAATTACTACACTTCTTCTGACTCTTTTGCACTAAACTTAAATTTTCTGTCACTTTAAAAGTATTTCTTTATCTTTTATGGTTTAAAAACTTATTAAAAATTTCTCAACGATTGTATGTTTATATTTTGAAATAACGATAATTTTAAACATATACAAAATAAATAAAAATTTAAACAAATTTATTGGTATTAAAAAGTCTTACTTTACGCCTGAAAGAGACAGCTATAACTTCGCAAAGAAGCATGTTCCAGGGTTGCAATTTTACAAATTTCTATATACTACGAAAATCCAACATTGGAGGGCGTTGAATAGAGTAATAAAACATAATGTTAGGTCATTTTCAAAAAGTAGCTAAAAGTAGTTATAAACTTAAAATAAAAAAAATATCAGAGCATCAAGTTAAGTCCATATATATGAATAAATCAACGATGAAGTTGATTTAATGAACGATTTAACTTTCATCATATATATTTATATGTATCTGTGAAGCACGGATATTATATCTTATTTCTTGTTTAATGGTTTCTTTTAGTTTATTAGAAATTCGTGAGATTTAAATTTTTAAATTATTTTCACACTTTATTCCTCCAAAGCAATACTCCCGTCTGAATACACTTCAGCATGGAGTAAATTGATGGCGTTTAGAATACTCTTAAAATAAATTTATTTAATTATATTCAGTCGTTTCTTAATCTGCTTTATCATGATGATAATATCTGAGAACGATTCGAATGTAAATCTGACATTAATTTGATAGCTGAACTAATTGTTGCCACCTGCACACATCGAATTGGAGCACTTCTTGAGGTAAGCTGACAAGTCAAGCAAAATGAACACACTGATCATATTAATTAGTCATTAAGACAATTAATTAATTCAAATTATTTTTTATGAATACAGAAGCGAGTAAGTGAGTTATACTAAAACAAAATATGATGCACATTACCATAAGACACTCGGAAACTGACAAGTAAACTAAAACAGATTTAATAAAATCTAGTCAATGGTATCGAAGAACTATATAACAGACCTTAGCTTTCGAACTTGATAAAATCGTTTATGGAATTATTAAAAGTGTGAAAGTATTAATAAACCGTAATGAGCTCGGAACAGTACCATACACTTTTTGTTTCAGACTCATACTTATAGTACCGTCATTAATTCCTCTACTTTATCTTTTCACTACTGACACAATATTCTCCACTGAATTACATTTTCTATTGTCGCTTCAAGCAATTTGTATTTCACTCAAAGAAGTGGTAAACCCTACACAATTTAACACAATTATTATCACAAATATGTGGGAACAATGAATGTCCCCATTTCTTGCCTTTAGTTATTATAAATATCAGGAAATACTGGCCACTCATAGCGAAAAACACTGACTACAACTTTGCAATACTATGCAAACTTCGCAACATATACAGATCCATCAAAAATTAATAAATCACATTAAGATATGTAGTGTCAAGTCTATAGCCAGAAATGTACTCATAATGCTTTAATAATGTATAAACATATCTATAAATATACAAGTAGTACTTCGAAAAACTTAGGAAGACACAGTCCTTCAAGCCCTCTCTACTGGCTTGTATAATACATGTTAATTATAAAGAAGATTAGAGTGCTCCAACTAGGAGATTACTAATTGTGTACTAATTGTATTTGGATGTACTTGTCATAATATTAAGATACTATCTTGAATAAAAAAGAGGTAAATATGGTAATCATATGTTAGAATCATGCATTAATTTATAGTTTCACATAGAGCTAAGTAGATCTGATATTCGAATAGATTTCATAAACATGGTAAACTTACACATTACACATTTCTTAAATGTCATAGCGTTCTTTTTTTAGTTTCCCATTAAAATTGACATTTGTATGTGGTTCGACATCACCGACCTATAGAGCTTACTATTCGTAATGTAATTGAAGAAGTTAGGTCAAATATGGTAGTGTTTGTAGTGTAAAGGATCTAATCGTCTAATCGGTCAATCGGTCAAAAACGAATTCGTTCAGCAGGAAATATCAACATTGTGAGTTAAAGCATGGACAACATTTTGGAACAATTAAAAAATTTCATTCTCAAAACCTTCTTATGGCACCACATGAAATATTTCTTATAAATATTTGCATTTTATGGCGTATGTGCTCGAATACAATCTTGGTATCTCGTTGTAAATCAAATTATGGCAGTCTCTCTTTCCGTAAACATCTACGGACGTAGGTTGGAATTCCGCTTGAAGCAATTTTTTTTTAAATAAAAATTTTATTTTTTAATTTTATTTTTTTTTGTTGGATTCACCACTGAATGTCTCGTTTAATAAGAAAAAACATAAGCAAATCTTAAAAATAGGTATTAATAAATAAAGTCGAAGCAAACACACAGCTAGAAAACATATGAAACTTGATCTACTTCTAGCAAAAAACATCTGCTGTAAAAAATACAAGAAACTCTACTCAAGGAAATATTTAGTCATAAAACCTTGATAATGAAAATATTTTCTTTTGTTTATAATTTAATTTTATTTTACTTTCTTTTAATTTATTTTAATTTATACTATTTATTTCATAATAATGTGCAGTAATATAAAGTTGATCTAGTTTCTACACAAATGAACTTCAACAAATGATTTTATTCCTTGAACTACTTAAAAGGTAGCCGATAAATACATTGTATACAGACAGACGACCTCAACTCATATTAGATAGTCTAGTAGTATCAATTGCGCAATGGAGTCTTGCGCATTATTGCATTAGACAAATAGACATTCAAGCAAAATTCCAATAATTTTTTAATGGATTTCTTTACTTGCATCGATTTTAATGCATTCAAGTGCAGTGAATGCACATCTTCAGAAGCTTATGAGATACAGCTAAGCACTAAAAAAGTAATATTTACGCTGATTTCGCCAAATGTAAACTAGAGTTCGTGATTTCTTTAGCATTAAAAAAATTTTCACAGAAACAACATCCCAGGTTTCTCTAGATTGATGACATCATCATAAATATTAAGTAAAGCTCTTCACAACAGGACGTCCGCTTTAAAATACAAACAGTTATTAGGTCCGACTATCCACTAATTTTCAGTAGATTTAAGAATACACCGATATCGATAAATAAAATCAAAAGTAGAATAAAACTGATACCAACAGATATATCTTCTTAAACAGCATTAAATCAACAAAGGAATAAACCATTAAAACTAAATAGGATAACTACTTAAAACGTATTTAAACACTTTTTTTTCTGTATCGAAAAAGTTATTAATAAGTCAATGCAACCATGAACATCTTGTGTACATATATGTAAATAAAAATAATTTATAATTCTCATGTACACTTTCTTAAACATTTTAACTTTAATCAAATTTTTATAAACCGAAATTATAGCTTCGGTAGCTCAGCTGGTAGAGCGGTAGGCTGGAATGTCGCAACCAATCAAAGCGGATAAATATGGCGGTGGCATATGTGGATTCAATTCTGCAGGTTTTTCTCTGGTAGTAGGAGTGGACCTATTAAAATGCAAGCGGCACGGTTATCTGCGGTCGCGGGTTCAAATCCCGCCTGAGGCAATTGTTTTTTGTTTTTTAATTATATTTTTTAATTTTATACAAAAAAAATATTCTTATTTACGTTAAGCTTCGAACTTATAGATATACGATAATATATTTGTGATAGGTAATTGATTCCAATTTAATTCAAAATATATCAATACATAAAGCTTTTTTATGCATTTGGAAATGGCTTCAGACACGAAAGAGGAATTTTTTTTTAATTTCAGTCTTTTCAAATTCAAAATGCATGTGAAGTGCTTTCCTAGTAATGCTTGTCATTATTTTAACTTGGACTGCATAAATGGTAATGGGGACATCTCTTTCGTCGAAATAAAAACGCTCTTTGACTGTTTGAGTCATCTAATGCAAGTACATTAATTGTGAATGCTAACTGATATTGATATAGTGAGTCTATATGTATAAAGTATTAATATATTAATATTAGAAATAAGAAGAGTTCCTGACATAATCTATTCATTATATTTAGAATGTCAAATGGATGTTTATTTAGCTTATTATCCAGAATATCCTTTAGTATTTCGATATAAGTTTTTACAACTCCAAACAGTCTCATTTTATCAGCAAATTAGTTTTTCCGAAAAGAAAAGATTCTCAAGGTGCCAAGTGAGGTGAGTTTCAAGAAGAAGCTGAAATATGTTATTTGGAAGAGATTCGCTTGCATATTTGTTTTCTAATTTGTTTAGGAAAGAGGTAGGTGTATGAAATTAAGATCCCATTTTTGACATTTTTTTCAACTAACTTCCTTCCGTTGACCAACATCTTTCATAAAATATATGTAAATAGAACGTGCATCTTCCATCTGACGATATAGTGTTTATAGGATTGATTTATCCTTGATAAGGTGTTGAATTATAATAAATATGATCTCACATATTCGTATATTTCTAGATTGTTAAAATAGATTATCTGGTTAATATTCTAGTACAATTAGTGACAAATTGTAAATTGCATTTTTGATCACTGATTTTGATCCCTCATGCATGTACTACAAACCTCTTTATTTACATGCTTAATGGAGAGGTTAGAAGCCTTCATTTGTACTAATTATTTTTTTTTTTTGTTATATGTTATTTTCCAGGTTTCTATCCTTTCTTCAATACTGAATTTAAACTTATAAAGTATAAGTTTAATCTTTATAATTATGATTGATTGATCGTCTTTTTTTTCGTGGAATAAGGTGAATAAAGAAAACAAAAACAAATTTTTAATTTTTAACGTATTTAACAATTCATTATTTATATATTTTCGTAATAATTTCAGTTGGCAACAAAAGGATAATGAAATTTTCTTTTATCTTTTGGGGATATTTATATATGCTTACAACGTAAAGGATAAAAAGAGGATAAGATATAAGATGCTTAAACGGATATAGTATGGCAGTTATGTAATTAATATAAGTGACTTAGAAATCAACAAAATAAAAATATCACATGATAAAGATAAGAAGGTAATAAAATGCTAGTGATTGTGTCAAACCGAAAATCATTAATTAACAAAACGAAAAATAATTAAAAAAAAAATAAAACAATAATTTTTTTACATTTTTTTGGGCGTTGCAACTTTTTGATTAACTATTGAGTGATTATAGTGTTCACATAAAATCATTCTCTTTGATATTGGGGACAGGCAGATATTCGTCAACAGTGCGTTTTGGTACAAGAAAAAAGTAGTATCACTTTAATAAGGAGATTATTTACAAAGTGCCTGGTGCTGGAGCCAAGTTCACTGATGCAGCTGAGCTAATGTGTCCTTCCAAAGGAGCAACGTGTACGGCACCGCGAGTCTTGGCAACGTATGTGGCTGGCGCCGCAACTGCAACTGGAGCGGCAACAGCAACTGCTGCTGGTGCAAGGGCACCGGCTGCCAATGGACCTGATACAACTTGCAATGGTCCAACGGGGGCACCAATAGCTACGGCAGGTGATAGAGCGAGCGCAGATGGGCCAACGGCTAGTGAAAGTGGCAGCACTGATGATTGGGCGCCTAAAGCCAAAGCTAACAAGACTACTGCAATGACGAACTGTAAAGAGAAATAAAATGAAGATGAACGAATATATATACATACATGATACAGAATTAAATAACATCATGTGAGAGTTTTCATATGCATTAGAGAGCTTCATTGGTGACTTGAGCAAGTTCAACAAGTGTCTAACTTTAGATGGCGTATTTATATAGACAGACATATTCAGAAAGTATCAGAATATGTTTGAATTCATTGGTTTATATGTGTTCATTAATCAATTTTTGTGGAAAGTGGTAAAAGAAAGTGGAAAGTGGTTCCAGAAAGACTATTAATTTTAATTTAAAAACACTTTGCTGATGGATAATTTTTTAATAGCTCTCGGTAAAGAGTTGAAGACGAAAATGACAGATTGTCATATCTAAATCTGTATGAGTTATTTATTTAAAAATGTGCGTCCGTTTTTTGAAGACTCCAATTGAGTTGAGTCTTAATAGCTGTTATTGCTAAAAACACAGAAAAGTAAAAAAAAATCGTTGAATCCGTTTGATTATTAAAATCTTCCAATGAGTTTTCACAATTTATAATCTTTAGATTTTGATCAACAAAAGTTATGAGAAAAATGACTTTTCCTCATATTTCAAAGATCTCTAAGAAAAAGGATAGTTCACATGTCACATTTAACTGTGCAACTCTTCACTTCTATGTTCTCACAATCTTATGATTTTTATTGAATTACACTATCTATGCTTTACACTTTCTATGTTTTAATGTTCTTTATTTATGTTCTCACTTCTCTGTTGTTCGTCTTACCTTCATGTTGCTTATTGGATTTGGTTTTTTCAACTTGCTGAACTGTTTGAAGTTGGAAATGCTACTACTGACATCTACAGTGCTGATCCAACCTTTTATACTCAATTTTGAAATAAGACTCGAGCTCAAAATTGTTCTCGGGTTCAATTGTCATATCGATTAATATTGGGTTAATTGTTTTAGAACAACATATTCAGTAGTAATATCAGTACGATCAGTACTAGCACATGAGTTCTGACAATTAAGGCGAAACTCTCATAATAATTTACGTAAGAAATTTAGCAAATGAAATAATAATAATAAATAATAAAATATTTAACATAATGTAATCCAGTTTTTTTTTATTTGTAATTTATTCTTCATATTAATGCGCTTATTAAATAAATTAAAAGCCAAATTAAATGCTAATGGCTCAGGCGTAAGGCGGAAATCAACTGCCACTGTCACATACGCTATCATAAGTGCGCAATGGCAGCAACCCGGCAGTTTAACCTTGTCATCGTAATGCCTTTAAGCGTTCCACTGCAACGCCCTCACCTTTGTTATTATCGTCTTAATAATGCTCATTTCGTAACTTAATTCCAATCTAAATCATTTCAATCCAACCCAATTCAAGTCAAATCAAGTCAAGTCAATCAAGACAATCTAAGTCGATAAAAAATCATATAAATACAAAATATGCGAACACACATTTGTTTTCTACTCATGTTGTTGTTCTTTTTTTTACTCATTAAACCGCATGTGATTTTGGTACGCGACAATTCGAAACACTCGACGACAAGATAATTCCATTGACATGATCGATCCGAATCAACTTGAAGTGATTTGCACCAAAAGACTATTAAGTGCACAAGTCATTCGGCGGGTTCTTCGCTAGACAAAGCTCACAGGAAAGATTTGTATCTCAAACGAAGAAAAAACGTGACATAAAAATTCGTTTTAAAAAAAAATTTATTTCAAAAAAATACCTTTGAAACCATTTTAGGTAACACATTACATAACATGGTTTGAGAATTAGTTTCTCTTTCATTTGTTCAACTTTTGTTTTCGATAATTAGAAACCAAACAAGATCTTTAAGTTTCAAACTAAATAAATTCACACGCGTGGATCTGAAATGGAAAATTTCTTCTGACGATGTATGAGAATGTTGAACTTTTACTAGCGGAAGTTCTTAGTATCATATCTCTCAGATGCTATATCTGAATCCACTTAAATTCAACATTTAATCAGTCGTTGCAAAGCTTCTTTATTATATTAAATACTAATTCCATCATGTTCATTCTGTTCATTTAGGTCTGATGATTATATATTGTCGGACGGTGAAACAGCGCACCGTTCAGAAAGTGGCCCCACCGAAGTGAAGGATTAGCCGAAGTAGGGCCTTATGATTAAATGAATATTAAATAAAATACACCGCTTCCTTACTACATATAACTTTAATCATATTAAATTTTTGGAGCAGATCCAATTATTTTTCCGTAGAAGACCAACCAGTAAATAATAATAATAATACTTTATATTTATATAAATAAGAATAAATTCAAATATTTCGCTTTAATAGTTATTTACATCAGAATACACGCCAATTAATAATGAAAAACAGGGGTCTGACTCAAAATTACAAAAAATCGTGATGGGTCTCTACCCAATAATTCTTTAGATGAAATAAGTTTGAAAGAATTTCTTTGCAATAGGATTGAAATGATGCACCTTCATGTATTATAAGAAAATCAAACAACATGAGAAGCCTATCTATATTAACTATTTCAGAAATCATCGGAAATACATACGTTATGAAATTTAAATACTGAAGTATTAGGATGGTGCCCAGAACATGCAGGACACGAAGGTTATAAACTAACCTAAATCACAAATGTTAACATGAAATTTTCTATAGATTCACAAAGGTTATTCAAATGATTAGAAAATAGAAGGAATATAAATTTTTTGGTCACTATATTAATAGTGTTGACAAATTACAAGCAAAACAATTTCTCAAGCCAGCAAACTTACTTACTTATTTAATTGCCTATTAGAGACGTCAGTCGTCTTTGGTCGCGTCGAGTAGCCTCTCCGCTAGCCAGTGCCTCATTGGTCATGAAGACTTTCCACCGAAGATGCGGACGTCCTCTACCATGTTTACCACTTGCGAGTACCGAATCAAATACCTTTCTAGCCGGAGCACTTTCATCAATTCGCACGACATGACCAAGCCAGAGAAGCCACTGAATTTTTATGCGCTTAACTATGTTAATGCCGCGGTATAGTTCATACAACTCATAGTTCCATCTAATTTGATACTTCTCGCCAACACGTAAGGGCCATAGATCTTCCGAAGAATTTTTCTCTCGAATGCTCCTAACGCATTCTCATCACTGTTGGTAATTGTCCAAGTTTCTTCACCATAAAGCAGGACCGGCATAATAAGAGATTTGTAGAGCGTGATTTTTGTTTATCGAGAGAGCTTCATTTCTCATTGCTTACTTAATCCGAACTAACTTCTGTTGGCAAGAGTGATTCTTCGTTGAATCTCTAGGCTGACGTCAATTTTGCCGTTTACGCTGGCTCCTAAATAAACAAGGTCTTTCACAACTTCTAACTTATAATTGTCAGTAGTGACGTCGATCCTAAGATGCTCAAAGGATTTGTTGAAAATGCCGCACTAACGACGCCAATGATATAAATATTATCGGCATACGACAGCAGCATTACACTTTTGTAGAATATTGTGCCAGTGCGGTTTAAATCTGTTGCTGAGTCATTCTGTCTAAAACCTTGTTTGATATCAAACGGCTCGGAGAGGTTCTTCCCGATTCTAATGGCGCTGGTGATGTTGCTCAGACAATAAACAGAATAACAAATAAACAACTTTCGCTACAGATCATAGCAAACTGAGGTTTTACTTAAATATGTGTCGGTCTTACCAAATGTTAGGCGGATGTACAAACTCAGGAACAATAAACCTTAAATTAAACATACAAAGTTCTATTATGTCACCAATTATATTTCCAATATATGTATACCTCTTATAACAATCTTATATAGCAATCAAATCTTCAGTTTCGGAGAAGGTGTCAGATTTACACTATGCCGGGATCGTTCGTTAGAACAAATAAAATTTTTGTGTAGCTTAACATAATATATTGTCACAATATTCACCAGTAGATGTACGTTATATGACATCACATTGGTTTTTAAGAACTACAGTGAAAGCGGTGGAGTGTTGGATGGACACTTATTCACAATCAAATTGTTTTTTATCATAATTCGAAAATATTTAATTTTTCTGGCTGTACCTCCTTTTCAATGAATGGTTTTGATATTAATAAGCTCCACCGCAAGTCTACGGTAAACAATCGATAATCAATAGACTGTAAGTGATCCTAAATATATTTCACAAACCTAATTATAACCTAATTTATAAATTTTTTAAGCTGTAAAACACAGTAATTATCTGCTGACTCTCAATTTTTTAATTTTTATTGTAAAAGTGTAATTTGATAACAGAGTTTATTTTTGATCGCAAAATAATTTAGATACGAAAATTTAGAGACTTTTTTGAAATAATGGCCTAAATTACATAGAAGTATAGAACGAAACAGACAACCAGTAGTATTATTTGTTGCACAACTTCCATAAACACCCCAGCTTCTGACGCAGGACCAGATGGAACTATTTTTGAAGATTCTACTGCTTCCGAGCGTATCTATTTATTAAAAAAATATTTATTTTGATATTTTCAGCGAAAAATTCTTAAAACCCACCACATTCTTACGCATCTGAGCACGTTTACCGTAAGCCCTGCGGCGTTTTAATCCCGCACGTCTGACTTTACGCAGGATTTTACGGCGGCGTTTATTTTTCGCGACACGGCGGCGTACATCTTTCGCGATACGACGGCGAATACCAGGCGAGCGCTTACCCTTGCCAACTTTGTGACGCTTATCAATGCATTGGCGACGTCCAGGAAACTTGATTTTTTTACGCTCAGCTGCGGGAGTGCGTTTACGTGGGAACCGCCTGGGCAGTCCACGCTTTTTGCCATGACCAAACTCATCCTTAAATAGTTTTTTCAAGTTTTTATCTGCATGAAACAGAAAACAGGAACATTATTTCTATTGGAATATTTTACAAAGTATTATACTCACCACTGTCCATACTTCGTTTTTATTTTGCCTGAATTTCAGGATTTCTCATTCGAGGTAATTCTTGCAATGCAGAAATATCTATGTAGTATACAGTATTAAATCTACTATAAATAGTCACAGAAAATTATAGGAGATTTCTTGAAACAATATCTCTAAACAAAAATTTTATAATGAAATCAACTCGATTCTGTTTTATAAATTATTTTTAAAATGTGGCAATGCTGTTGTGATTACAATAGTTTTTACATATTCCGTTTAGATGAGATGACATATAACCCACCTAATATATAATTGAGTTATATTCTGGGGTATTATGTTTTTGAAATCTCTCTGAGCATGGGCGAAATAAAGACTCATAGAATTATTGAATTATTGCCAGATTTTTATCTGACACATTCTGTCATAGCTGTAATCGATAACTCCAGATGGATTTTAGCACGCTATTATAAACCAGAAGCTAGTAGTGTAAGTTTCGTATTTTGAGGTCCAAAGTATACAATTTATGAAAATGTGAGTGCTCTAGGTCAATTCTTATGGAGGTGAACATTCATATATTTTGTATCTAATATCTATGGCAATTGAGTAGTGTTTTTGCGCAAAATGCAATCTTTAGATATTAAACACCTGTTATAATTGCTATTGGAAACGAAGTAAGAAAAAATGAGTCCCTTTTTACAACATTATTTTTAATTTTTATGTATTTTATCTAAAACAAGGAAAATTTTATTCAAGAAAAACACAAATAAAATCTCATCTTCCAATCCATAACTTTCATTTTGCCTTTCGAGAGACGAAAAGAGCTTTATGAAATATCTCTCGAAAGATTTTTGTACTTCGAAAGATTGTGGTTAGCTGAAAGAGAATTGCCAAAATTGTCTTAAAAGGAAAACATTTGGAATGTACTTGGTTTCAATCGTCGTTCATACACAAGACAATATCATCGTGGAGATCTGTAGTTGTGCGGATGCTTTGCTGGGATTACTATTAATAGTAAGGACGAAAAAATCAGAATTTTATAAAACGATACCTTAAGGGTTAGTTAAGAAATGAAAAAAGGTTTCCAATTAATATCAATTGGATTAATCAGATAATTTAGATTAATTTAGCTGTTTTACTGAAGTAGAAGAGGAAGACGAAGTATAAATGGAATGATCAGTGTTCAAGTATAAACATATACCTACTATCTTAATCTAGTGTAATTAAGATGTTCAATTAGGAATATACGTAATTATCTCATGCTACAAAATGTAATAATAATGTGATGTAATGTTCGCAATAAATAATTCCATGACTGATATGTATAAAAATCACAACTACTCAATTTGTGTAATATCATTTCATATAACTAAGTCGAAGAAACCGTAGAACAAAAGCAAAAGACCAAGAGACACAGTTCGATGATTCAAATACAGACTAAAATTTTATTAGGATCTTGACATCCTTAACATGGGCATGTTGAAGATGACACCTAAACTCAATGAAACTTAATGTCCAGTACTACTCTACGAATATGTGAAGTAAATCCATAAGCAAACGTCAAATGAGCAGTCGGACAGACAGACAGACAGCTTGGCATTTTCAAAGCTTGACAACAGCCAATCTTGCGAATGCTCCAATTAAATAAGTTTGCAGTGCTTTTCGAGCTCCAGTTGGAGGGGGTGCAATAGTGATAACCATGTCGTTTATTATTTTTCATTGCAAAAATAATTCGTATGGAGTGTGGCTTTGTAATGTTAATTTGATTACGATTTTCTGCTTTTAATAAATATCAGTTATTTAAGTTATTAACGATGTGGAGCAATGGCAATTGCCGTCTATCGTCGACCGTCGACCGTCTACCATAGACCGTCATTTGGCGTATGTGCAATTAATCGCAGATATTTCGCTGGCGTCTGGTTGACGTTAAATTTCATCAGAATTTTTTTCTATTGAGTGCGATTTGTTTTACAATTTTTTTCTTTCAAACTAATTGCAAACGATTTATTTTGCATATCGCAACGCTTATCTTGCGTACGAAATATTTCCTTATCGAAACTGACAATTGCGCTGCGATAATTGGTTTGACAGCTCAGTACAAGAGCATGCGGATGCAGATACAAATGTATCTATCAGTTACAGCGAGAAGTGTAAGGCAATGTAATTTTCGTTGTTTTCATTTATTAATTATTAAATACAATCACACCACAGAATTATTTTTAATTTGCTTGCTGCTATGAGTTTGAATTCGAAGTGTGGGCCACAAATAATTTAATTTCAGCAAATTTATTCAGCAAATGGATTTTTTCACTCCTACGTAGTACGTACAATGGTGAAAGCTTAACTACTATATACCGCACTACTTATGCGTGGTAATTTGTGGACTAAGAATCCTAATTAAGTACAGCTATTGTTTAAATTGTTTAAGATATATAGTTTAAAACATTTGATTACCTTAAACGTTTTTACTGAGTCATAAACTAAAAGTCGTGAAACTAAAGTTATACTCTGTTTATATTCTTGATTCCTTCACTGCCTATTATGTGCTATATTTTTCAAAGCCAATTTTTAATCCATGACATTAATATTCCATTTGTTACTGGAACAAATACAAATACTGAACTATAGTGGTCTTAACCAATATCCACAAAAGCTTTTTTTTTCTCACATTATATGTGACATTTCTTATCTAATACTTCCTTCCTTTCTTGCCCCATAAACTAGTAGTGATCACTATTTCGGGTACTTTTGTAATTTGCTAATAAAGCTTTTGTTAAGACATTGCGAAATACAAACAAGCAAATAATAAGTGCCGAAATATCTGATAAAGTTTTAAGAATTTCACCATTTATGATAACGTAAAATATTTCAGTCTTATTCCATAACTCTAACTATAAATTCTGAAAAAAAAGAATTGCTCTGTCTGTGATTTGCTCCGCATATGTCAAAAAATTATTCCTTTCTTGCATTGAATTATCTCTGAGAACGAATAATGGTATAGTGCAGATAACATAGATAGTATGGATTGTTTTTATGGCATAGGCTATATAGCGTACAACGCCACTACTGCAAATCAGTAAGCACTTGCAGTTACAGAGAATTAAGAAGCCAAAAACTACCACACCATATAGAAGAGAAACGAACTACATAATATGTAGTTATAGTTAAAGCTTAGTGCTCTAGATATCCTCTTGACGAAATACCAAATTGGTGATTCAAGTGCTATTCGTTATACATTGGGGTGGATAAAAGTCTCACACTGACAAAGCATTGACAGCATAGATATAGTGTATAGAGTGTATAGATCAACGAATGCTATTCTCTTTATAAATGTATGCCATATATAAAAAATTTATTTATTATACATGTTATTCAAAAAATTTGAATTATTTTAAAAAGCAAGAAAAGACCAGATTTTTTCGTAAGTGCCATAGTTTCACTATCGCTTGTATAGATACCCAAGATTGACAAATGGTCCAGAAGCAATATACAGCGGCTCACGCTTATTTTGTGCAAGCAATATTTTTGTAGATTTAGTTGAAAAGTTCAAAATTTTATTCAAAATCGAAAGTTTTAAATATATAACTTTGAAGAATGTTTAATTTTATTATAAAACAAAAAAAAAGTTAACAAAAATATTAATATTCAAGAAGAAATTCTGACCTCACAGCTTATTTCGTGTGATACATTTTATAGGTATTTTATAGGTATTAGGAGTATATTTTGTCATACATGGTATTAATTTTTCTAGCGTCCCAGTATTTATGTTTTGAATATTTAAGTTAGATAAAGATTTTCCTTCCAACTTTTTGGCACAAATAAAAAATATGTCTGAATTTATAAATTCCTGTTGCCGAAAACTAGATGTTATGTATGTAGAGCAACAATATCTTAGTAATTATCTTAGTAAATGATGTTTTTCATTTATTCCAATTTTTTCATTTATTCCATATACTTTGATGTTTAAATTGAGTGGTGAGTTTTGTGTCTAAAATCTATATGACAAAAGAGTAATAACAGTCACTCTTTATAGTAAACATAAATATGTTGATTGGATATTTCATGTCCCTGATTGATGCACCCAAACAATTAGTGAGCAATATTTCATAAATAAATATTAAAGTGACAATAGGATCTAAAAAGGTTCCTTTATATTCTCATGCAATAACAAAAAGTTAGAAAGCACAATTGTTAAATATCACTGCCCGGTTTACAAAGAACCAGGTAAGGAGAATTCGGTTTCAATTCGTATTTCATAGATAAAATTTAAAACCATTAAAGATGAAATCAAAAATACTTATAAAAATTCCATTTTATTAAAAATTTTGACCGAAAAAGTAATTTATCATGCGAACACATGAACATATCAATATATCATGTTTTTGATTTTAGTTTAAATTTTACTTCAAATATAATTCGAAACATTTTCATTGAAAAAGAAAAATTATTAATTTAAGATCAAGAACGATAAATTCTTATTAATTTGCTTTAAATCGCAATTCAATTCGTTTTCGTCAAGACACTTGAAGTTTTAATTTTTGTTGAGTTTTTCGGCTGTCTTTCAAATCAAAATGGGTATTTTATTCGCTGATGAGCCTGAAGCAACAATAAGAGCACGTGACCGTGCCCGTGCCAAGGTAGATATTATCTGTACATTTGTCACATATATGATCTTTAGTTAATAGTGGTTAAATCTAATAATAGCGCAGAGTAGGATGGCGTAGTATTGTTTTGGCCACCGACGCCAGCGAAAGACATTGGTTCGAGGAGGAAGATGTTATCGTTGCGTGAGTACAATTTTTACTTATAACAACTATCGTTCTAATACTTCTTCCTATAAGAAAGGGTATTGAAGTAATTATCTATATGGTATAATAATAATAGTTTATTTTTTTTAAAACAAATTTTTAATGAAAGTAAAAATTATTTAAAATACATATTTGTTGATTAATAATCAATTACAAAATCAGCAAAAATTTATATTATTAATTTTTTAAGCTGTTGCGAAAGTTTCTATATATCTACTACCAGTAGTCGTTGGAAATATTTAGACCCCTGGTCTGACATTTGAAATAGTTGTGTGATCAATCCAAAAATTTACTTAATTAAAAATTAATTGTACTTAGTTATCTTTACTATCTTAGTACAGAATATGCACTTTGTCATTGGGCATAAAACTTAAATTGCATATGTGATAATATAATTAAACATATATAATTCTTTGTATACATATATGTAATATTATATAAACATAATTATATTAATACATATATAATATTCAATTGTCTATACTTTTTTGACAATATTATCATTCTGACCAACTGATCAACAAAATAATCATGGATTATATAAAAAAATGTTAGAAAAAGTTCAAATCCGTAAAACAATAAAAGTATAAAAGATAAGAGAGAGATATATTTTTTAGGACTGACTGGATTTGAATTTCTTAATAACATTATTGGAAATATTCTAGAAAAAATTTTATTGGAGGCATGCTAACTAATAATAGTAGGTGTATATGATATTTAGATAAATTTCAGATAAGTTTTTATCAAATCAACCTACCCATTATAAAATGTTAACATAAAAACCATTCTTCGTTCATTAATATTTTATAACATGCAATGCTTATTTTATTATTAATAGTTATTCACCAGTTTTTATATATAGTCTATACACTTTATGCAGAGGTTTTCCATGTTTACTTTCTGAAGTAAGACAGTTTTAGTAAATACCTAAGTATATACCAAGTATATTCTAGCACTTCATAGACATTGTCCTTCAATGTTATTTTATCTTTCGTAATATTTATTTGACTATTATGTTTAGGCACTGCTTATTATAGTTGCATCAGTTTTATATATAATAATAAGTTTTATGGTATCATATCAGAAGGAATGTAATCAAACGAAACATCTTTCTCAAAAACAGTTTTTCAAGCTTACATGAAATCTAAACTAAAAACCTTCGAAACTTTAAATTCATTTCTCTAAAGTCTCTACTTCCGTCTAGAATGTTAAAGATAAGGAATAAATCATTTTAAAATCAAAGAACTAAGCATATATTCTTGCTAGAGAGGGCATATTTAGAGTTGAGAGATAACGACAAGCTGGCGTCCTTGTGTAGCAGCGCAATCACTATAAAATAATACGGCTTAATTTAATTTACACGTAGAATTTGTGTGTGTAGAGGGAATTAATTTCTGTTGGTTCTCTTCTCAAATTGTATAAAATTCGGGTTTTTACAACCTGTCATTTTAAACGATTGTTACCACTTAAGTCGTACTACGTTTCATCATTATCACGAAAGTTTTTTCCCTGATATAAGTATCTATTCTGATTAAGCTTGGAACGTCAATTTGCGAATTGTTTTAAGGAGTTTAAATATTTATTTATTTTGTTGTTCAGTATTTAAAAATTAAGCTTTAACTTTTTTCTTTTTGAAAATATCTATTAAATTGAATTAACCTAAACGTCATATTATTTACCCGTTATTTGCTTTCCTACCAGGCACAACATACCATAAAAACGTTTTTTAAGGTATTCATTTATGCATTTTTATAGCTTGGATTGCAATACTTTATGGTCATATTTTGTTAAACAAATTATTTCAAAAATATTAGAAAAAAATTCATTTCTATTTGAGCAAAACTCCTACGTATATGCTTTCGAGCAAATTTATGCCGCAGACAATTTTTACGAGGACATTAATGGAACCTACGTTCAACTAATGTGTTTCCATTAATATTTTATGCACAGTAAATCATATAACATGCATTTATCCTATATACAACCAACCAAATATATTTTATTTTAATGTATTTATGAGCTTTTCCCGTGCATGAAACCACGACATCCTGAGCTACTGTTTTTATTAAAATATTAGTGGAAGGGATTATCGCATATACGAGTACCCTTTTTAATAGAAAATGGCATTTAACTTTCATGAAAGCTATAAAAAATAGAAGAGTGTAGTGTCAATATCTGCCTATCTAAAAAGTTTTATTACTGAAGAACATTAATGACATATTCTACTTTTATTTTCACTAAAAGTATTTATTAGGATTAACAAATGTTTCCATTTTCATATGTTAGGTAATACACTGGAAAGGATTAATCTTTACTTGGGACGATGAAATAAATTTCAAATAAGATCTGTAATTTGATAAACAAATATTTCAAAAATAAATTGTAATGAATCGGTTACAAAAAGTATAATCAACCAACAGATACGATATTGGATTACAGATAAAGCAGTTTTCTTCCATTACCTTTTACAATATTAGAAAAATTAATTGAACAGCTTACCACCTATTGTAAAATCCAATTGTCTACAGTATTAGACAGGTTTTCGTATTCCTATCACTTCACACGATCTAACTATTCCCGGTCACTAATACCTTCTAAGTTTCACGTACCACATGGAATACACATAATGTAAATTTCCTTGGAAATAAATCATAACAACACAACAGAACTGGAACTCATAGGGTACCATAGGGTACTGAGCATTAATGGACTTATTTGTGCAAACTTAATAGACTTTCTCTGAAAATTTGATCACAATCAAAGTATGACATTTGTATGACTGATCATAATATAAATAAATAATAACAAATAATAATAATAATTTGACTTTTATTTGAATGGTACTAAATTTTTTATTAGAGAACACCGAAAATTATTTGATTTTCCATCTAAAAGAAGTCCTCTAGCAATATTTTACTTCAATCTCCACCTCTGAACGAACGATTGCTTTGTAATAATCTTGTATGTAGGATAACATATACCTGTAGTATATCTATAGTTGATCACGCGATATGTAAGCCTGAATACAAGATTGCAAAAAGAGCTCTCCGTAGAATCTAAATCAGTGAAAGCGCTTTTCTCTAAACACCATCTAAGGCCTCATTAGCATATCAAAATGATTTTAAATTATTTGAGTTTTATACGCAGTAAATTGTGCATCAAGTCTAATCATGAATATCAGCATAATAATCGAATCATAACTAGAAACCTATTTAATCTTTTTAATGTTAAATATGGCTTGAAAATAACGTGAACTCTAATTCAAATTCCAGTGATAGGCTCCAGCAGCGAGATTATATCCCAAGAGTAAAACAGTGGTTGCTTAAGCTCTTCGGAAATGGTTAGAAAAATCTGTTGATAATATATTAGATATATTAGATAATATATTATATAATAAGAATAAGAATATTATAATAAGAATTTAAATTTTCGGATTTACGACTTTACCCACAAAAACCCCTTTTTGTCTATTTGATAAAAAGTTCAAAGGAGTTAAGAATAATTTTCTTGTTTTCAATTTTGATAAAAAGATATTCATAGTATCTGAAATACTTTAGTTAAAAAATCAAAATTGTACTTACAGTACCTTTTCTCATAACTCAACTCGGAAGTCAAATGCATTAAGCATTCCACATTCTTGATAAATTCCATAGTTTTTTGCTGAGTTGGGTTGAACCACTTAAATTGTTTATGACTGTAATTTACAAGATAAAAATGCAAAGCATGTCTATTAGAGTTGAGAATATGAAATATCTTCTAGCAGCAATTATCTGAAAGCGCCGAGGTATTTGTTATTGTTGTCATGTGCAATTTTTTCTTACATCACCATCAACTGCTGCTCCACCCAACAAGCAGTGCGCGGCGTTGGCCAGCATGCCGAATGCCTGAATGCCCGAAGTCTCTTATCCAAGTTGGCTGTGAGTGCGATGCAATACCATGCAAGAATTGCATCATAGCTTTTGCGAGCAAGTCTAAGATTTACTAAAAATAGTCATAGGAAAGCGAAGTATATCATATTTCGCTATTTAAGCTAATTCAAACCATAAACCATTAACCATAAATTATCGGTCCAAGCTTAATAGGAAAAATGTACAGGAAAACTGCTAGAAGTATTTTTGGTGCTACTGTGCTGGAGCAGCTGCAGTTTGGCCACAACTGAAAAACAAAAATCTCGGACGAAGAAACAAACCCAATTCCGCTTAGTTGCTGTTGCTATTTACACGTAGTCTCAGCGCAGTGAAGCGAATTTATGGAAATTTGGAAAATTCAGTTGCAAACTTCTAACGATGGAAATGGGTTTTTCTTGCCATTTTATGTTCTGCTAAGTAAAACAATAATAACAATTTGGGCCATAAACTTTCACTTTCCTTTGGTTTTGGTAAGAGTGTTTTATTTTCTTTACTTTGACGTTGTAGTTCTTTATGATTCGGGGTGCTAATTTAACGTTAGTCACGTAAAGTCACGCTAGGTTTATTCACTTGCCAAATGTTTATGAATTATGATTGACAGTCTCAAGAATTATAGATAGTTTAGTTTTTATGTGGTGTGAGTAGCATTGGTTAGAAACCAAACAAAACATTAAGACTAAGTGTGAAAGAAAAAGTCAAATTAATGGGTTGTATTTATTGAGTAAACAATATGATTTTACTTTCCTCTATCCTTTTTGAAATGGATGTAACATTCGTCCTTCAACTAAAAGTACTGTTCACAAGAATAAATGATTAGATAAAAAAAACTGGTGTCATTCAAAACATTACTCGGTCCGAGTCAGGAACATAAATAAGAAATCTTTCGAAACTCGTCTGCATTTTTTTCTAAAAAAAAGAAAAAAACTATCTTCATCAATATAAAACAGATTCAGCATAAGCCGAGATAATGTTTTAATAATGGTCACATAGAGTGGAACGACGACCTGAAATATACTTTCAACAAAAACGTCTTATTAAAAACTACATCCACGTCAAAAAACTTAAACTGTA